TGATCTTGGAACAGCAACAAGTAGGTATTTTCACGATCGGACTCAGGAAGCTCAGTGACAAAATTCATAGAGACTACCTCGAACGGATATCTCGGTTCAATATTGCCCGGTGACGGACCGAGAACTGGTGGTCGCCCCTTGGCTGACGCACAATCTACACACTCTCTCACTAACTTCTACACGTCAGCGTACATCCCGATTCAGTAGAACTCTGAACGTAATCGCTCAAACGTCCTGTTGATTCCTTGGTGGCCGCCTTGAAAATCTTCGTGGGAGTAGTGTAGCATATCAGCACGTAAAGCCTCTGGGACCACCAGCCTGAGTTCCGACTGTTTGTTGCAAGGTCTCTCAGGAGTGGGCGTACTCAGTCTGTAGAGAACTTCTCGCGAATCTAACACAAACTGATCAGAGATCTTCGCAATCTTCTTTACCTGATTCCGGGGGAGATCTGACACGTCTCCTCTTAGGATCTTCTTCATTTGTTGTATCCACAAGTCTTCGTCTTGGTGAACCTTAATTCTCCTCCAGCGTTCGTCCTGGTATCCAGACAGGTCTACAGGAGTCCGAGAACTTGCATCCGCTTCCGCTCGTGACCTCGTCATTACCATCAATGCCTCAGCCGCGGTAGCCAGAGACTCTGGTATTCCAGCATCAGAGCTATCCGCCCCGAGTTCAACTTGGTCAGAGCGAACCACATCTGTCCCAGGGGTGCCTGGGATTTCCGAAGGCTTCATGATCTTTTCAGGAATTCTGGACACGAGGCGTAGATGCACTATCTCATCAGGGTCATCGAGCTCCCAGGATTCTCCCAGCACGAGAGTCTTAGAGGTCAGGTAGTCGGCTGCTTGGTTGAACTCATGTTTAACATGAATCAACTTCACAGACATAAAATTCTTCCTGAGATCCTCGTACTCAGCTAAGCGTCGTTGCAGGATAGGCGGGTTGCAATTGATCAAACCCTGAGCTTGTTGGACGATGATTCGGGAATCACCGACTGCCACAAGCTCCTTGACATTGTACTTCATAGCGAGCTTTAATCCTAGAATCAGACCATGGTATTCAGCATCGTTGACTGTTACGCCTTCAAGGATGTATCCTTCGGCTTTCACAACCTGCCACCCTGGCAGCTTCCACAGTATGCATCCACAACTTCCTCGGCGAGTAGAAACCTTCGCAGCGCCATCAAAACTCAGAACGTAGCCTTGGTAGTCTGCTTCCAACATTTCCAGACTCACTGGCATCACTTTCAGACGCCCCTTGGCGGGAATCAGAGTCTCCGCAACTTCATCTAAATGTACCCTGGGAGTAATACCAGACCCCAGGATGGCGGCTAGGCCGTCCTCATCTTTCTGAGTCCGATGGATTTCCAGTGTCCATTTCGATAGTTCCAGCCCCCACTTCAGATGTCATCCATCTGCGGTGCTGGATTGTAGTAACCCCTTTAATACAGAGTAGCGCCTATATCAACTGGGAATTCTGATCCATGGATCAGAGATCTGAAAACCTCCAGAGTCCGCAAGATTGCGAGCACTTCCTTCTCAGCTATGTGGTAACGTAGCTCTGATTCCTTCAACACTCTGCCAGTAAATCGTACTGGATGTATGAGTCCTTCATGCTCCTGACCCAGAACTGCACACGACGCCCACGGGTTGGCATGCGGAATTATCACGAAAGGCTTGCTTCTGTCTGGATGTCGCAGCAACGGGGTCGACACGATGTTACGTTTCAGTATCTCGAAAGACTCCTTTGCGGCTCCCAGGTTCCGTCCAGCACGTACACGTTCCTCGTCTAATTCGTAGAGCACAGCGGCAACTACAGGTAAGTCTTCAATAAACTTGTTGTAATAATTCAGACTTCCTAAGAAGGACTGCACTCCTTTGTACGTCGACGGGAACGGTAAGTCCTCTGTGCCTTTGACAATCTTTGGCAAGGCTCTGATTCCGTCCGCACTTACTTCATGAGAGAGGAATGGTATGGTCAACTTTCC